GATGTTTGGATATTGAGAAAATACTTTGAATCTGTTTGATTGCCGAGATTAGTTATTGAGAGCCGAGATTGGTTATCAAGAAAACTATAATGTCCGTTAAAGAAAGCAAATTTGATTAGAAAATTGTGATTTAATTATAAATTAATTTAGAATATCAATTTTGATTAATAAAAATAATTATAGTTTAATGATGATTAATTAATGAAATTTGATTTGATATTATTTTTTATTCATGTAAACATTTAATTTAATTTCTTACATTATTAAAAAAATATAAAAAATATCACTTAATTTGTTATGTCGTCAAAAAATATTTTTCTTTATTGGTGATATGGGGCTCATTTGAGTGGATTTGACGTCTTTGAATCACGGTAACATAACATGTCAAAATGTTTGCCCATATCATCAAAAAAATATAAAAAATGCCACATAAGTGGAGTTAATGGCCCAAATTAACAGAAAGATTAATGGTGTGTATTTCTTATAGTTGAGGGATCAAAAAAGTACAAAAAATTGTTAAAGGATCAAAAATGTATATTTTTTTAAGTTGAGGGACCAAATTTAACATTTAACCAAAGTAAATTCCGGATTCCTGGTAAGACAAGAAAACGTGGTTGCGAAAGTGTAGTTGTGTCCGGCTTCCTGAGCAGTACTGCCGGTGCCTGCTATGAAGATAGACCTGTAACGAGGACTGGGAATACCTGGCAAACCCAACAAATAACACCCATTCCCATTTAATTTTTTTTTTCTTCTTTTAGAATTCATAAATTAAAGATTTACACCGACGGTAGCCGTTAAGGAAAAAGATTTGTTTCGCCGTTCATTCCGTATTTTTAAAAAAAAAAAATAGTGATGGCATTTCCGTAATATTGATGGTGAATACGGTCATTTTGTTAAGTATAATATAAAACTAATTTTTAAAAAAATAAGAGGGAAAATGGGGGGGAAATAGGTGAGGTAAGGTCAAAAAGGGTATCTATTGTCAGACACTTTATTCCTAACCGCAAGCAGCGGTCTCGCCGGCAAAGAGAGAGGGAAATCTCTCTCTTTTTTTTCTTTTATCCTTTTTTTTCACTTTTATAAAAGTAAATTTTTAAAAAATATTTTAAAATTTT